CGGGGATAACGGAAGCCTACCGTTGTCCCTGGTGGAACGACATCCGGGTATGAGAGTAAGCGAGAAACTAGGCATATGAGCGGGAAAAGAGAAGGACTATGAGATGGACTGTACGGTGATCTATATAACAATGGGTTGGATGATTGATTGATTGACGGTCAGGCTGACAACTGAGTGTTGTATGTGGATGAGGAAGTCCTATGGTAAGGATAAGCGTTATCTAGATGAGCAAAAAGGAAGAAGGAGTGCCTTCCAGGTCTAGAGTGTGGGGTGTCTAAAGTGGTCAACCCGATAGGGTCATGAAAGGTTGAGTCGCTGAGTGGGGTCCTGTGTCCCATCATCTCTTATAACAGGGAGAGTGAAGTTGAAGGCGGTTGGCCAAGATGCCAGAAGAGATGGCGGACAGTGGGAGGAAGCTTGTGACTCTCGATGACCTCATCGATGCCCTGGACAAGCGCGAGAGGGCGCCGAGCAACGTCCCAAAGGTCGAGACATTCCACTTCAAAGGGGATCGGGTATCTGATTGGTTGGATCTGACGGAGCAGGCGCTGGTGGGGCTGTCAGATGAGGTCAAGCTCCAGCGGGTCCTGAGGTATGTCCTACATAGTCACCATCGGGAAGTAACTAAGGTTGTGGACGCCGCCAGCGGCATTTGGGCAAAGTTTGGGGACCTAATGCGAAGGAAGTATAGGCTGGGGGACGGCCTGTTGACCATGGCCGACTTTGAGGCCATGAACAAGGAAGACTTCTCCACCATTGGGGCGTTCGTGCACGAGTTCAAGAAAAAGGCGAGGAAAGTGCACGGGATTTCTGAGGAGGCGCAGTGCGCCACATTTTTGGGGCTGCTCACAGGCTCGGAGGCTACAGAGCTGACGAAGTATGGGGAAGGAAGCGAGAGGCTTACCTGGGCAACCATTGACAAGGGAGTGGAAGAAGGGATTCTAAACTAGGTGGAGCAGCACTAAATGAGGTTGCAAAGGCGCAAGAGGAAGGAGAGGGATGCTACTGGATCCGGAACCCCCGGGGTGAAGAGAATTGTCACGGACGTGTTGGCGGCACTGGGGTATGACAATGAAGCGGAGATACAGAAAAGAGGGGTGCTAGTGGCCCAAGGACGGGCGTCAGGGGCAGTAGATGAGGAGGCTGGGCAAGAAGACTACGGCGGAGGGGAGACAGGCTCCCAGGTCCTGACTAAGGCCCAGAGGAAGCAGTGCAATTTGCTGCAGGGAGGGCAGGGGTCAAGGAAGGGGCAGGCCCCCAAAGCCATTGCTGCACCACCGCCTGTCGCCGCAGCCGCGCCAGCGTCAGCAGGACCATCGCACATGGGGCCGCCCCCAACTTGCGGCCACTGGGTGCCGCATTGTCAGTCCGTGCCCTGGCCCAGTTGTAACCACTGTGTCTCGTGTGGAGGGAGTCAGGCCCACGCGGGGCACATGGTCCCCTATTCAGGCCCATCAGCAAGTATGGGCCCCCCAAGCTACCCGACGACCCAAAGCCAGCCCGTGGCCCAACCGCCGCCCTCCCAGCAGGCCTCCCAAGCTAGTGTGGCCGGGGGAGGGGGCCATAGACAAGGCGGGTAGGGCAATGGGGGCCGGGGCCAAGGAGGTAGAGGAGGAGGCATCCGGGGGCGAGGAGGGAATGGTGAAGGCCGAGGAGGAGGCTGGAATGGTCCAGGGGGTCAGAACCAAGGTGGCCAAGGCAGCCAGGTAGGGGGCCAAGGGTACGGGAGACCTCGCTTCGACTGGCGGAACGCAACTTGTTGGCACTATGGCGAGGTGGGCCACACCGTACGATTCTGCCAACAACGGCGGGACGACGAACTGGCAGGATTAATCTCCACTTGTATGGACGGGGATATATACGACCGGTGGGGAAAGCACATTGACCCCAAGACCCCGGGAGGAATCAGGCAGGAAGCCCTCAGGCGGGCAGCGGTCGGGCCTCCAGCAGCCCCGACAATGTTCAGGATATCGCAGGAAAGGCAAGACCCCGGCGTAAGGGTCGAAGAGGTTGTGGATGAAAATGAGGAAGTAACTCAGCGATTGAAGGCGGGGGCTATAAAGGAGGAGCCCATAGTTGTTGAGTCTGACGATGAGGTGCAGGAAGTGGTGAGAGAATCAGCCTCGACCATCCTGGAGAGGATGGAGGACCTGCTTTCAAAGGTTGGCAGGTACCAGGAGCGGCTAAGGGCAATGTGTGAAAAGGTCCGAGAATGAGAAATGAGCCTTCCTAAGGTGATGCTCTATGGGTCCGGCCCGGAGTCGTCGTCAGGACCGCAAGGATGTCCAAGCGTGGCGACGACCGGGGCAGGTCCTAGGTCAGGGATGACCTTTAGACCCCCTACGTCGCATGGAAGGGTACCACAGGCCGCGCAGACTAGGGGCCAAAGCAAGTTTACCACCAGTCAAGGGCCCAACTAGGCACCTAGTCGGGCGCCCCCTCGAAAGGACCCTGAGCCCGAACGAAGGAAAGAAGTGGTAGAGGTTCAAGGAGAGGAGGATGAGGGTGATGACGAGGAGGACGAGAGGCTCCGGCAGGAGGAGGACCGGAGAGCGGAACAGAGGGCCAAGAAGAGGGGGGCTCAGGGAGGGGTGGAGCCAAGCCTGCATGATGGCGTACCAAAGAGGAAAAGGTACGCAGTCCGGCTGGAGGAAGGCTTTGACGTGGAGCGAATGGTGGACAAGCTCCTGGAAGGTCATAACGATTTGATGAACCTAAAGGACATTTTGGCGTCGGCACCAAGGCTCCGTGGCGAGCTGAAAGGGCGGCTCTCGCGAAGGTTAGTGCCCAATGTCCACCTGAGCTCAATTCTGCCCAGGGAGATAGAGTGGACAGAGGTGGGCACTAGGATGGATTGAAAATGTGTGGCGTGTGGGTTGGTGGACTTGAAGGTGAGGGACCAGCCGAGCATCGCAATGGTGGATACAGGCGCGGAAATGAACATCATCCGGGAGCGGGATGCGACTATGCTCGGGCTGGAGGTCGACCATTCAGACCATGGCATGTTGCATGGTGCCAACTGCAAGGCCATCTTCTGCGGCACTACGTCTAATGTGATGGTGAAGATTGGGAGAGTAAGGGCGCGAACGTGCTTATTTGTCATGCCCGATGTTGACCACCCCATCCTTCTGGGGAGGTCGTTCCTCTGTCGAACGGAGACCCTAGTCTTCAACAGGCATGAGGGGACGATGATCCTGGCCCTATCTGATCCGGCTTGTGAAATCATCAAGTGTCGGAACACACGGCCCGAAACTGGGAGGAACAGGCTCAACCTCGGCTCCTTTACCTTCGAGGAGTCTGAGTACGCGCGGTGGAGACTCCGGGAGGAGCAGGAGGAGGAAGCGGCAGGCGAAGTGTTGTCCCTGAGCCTTATTGATGTAAATAAGGCAATGGAGGTGGTGGCGGCGCATGATATGGCGGACCCGAAGGCTATAAAGGCATTGAGGGAGCAGGTCCTGGAAAGCCCTCAGGCGGGAGAGGTGGAGTTGATATATCGGCTCCCAGGAAGGAGGGGAGACCCAGCGATGGCCCAAGCCCGGACGACAAGTCGGTTTTTTTTAGGGGAGGGCTTAAGCAGGGTTCCCAAAGGCGGTACAAGACCATAGATAAGAAGTGTCGCCCAGTCCCCGTGCGTGTCACGGAGGATGAGGAAGTCTACTATGAGCGGGAGCGAGGGCTAATAAGGCGTACGCGGGAGCATGCGCAGGCAGGGCCGTGCCGCATTAATAATGAGAATGAGGAGGGGCTGATAATTGGCGAACCAGACTTCCTTTCGCCCCAGGAAAGGACCTTGATGGTGAAGACTATGAAAAGGAGGCATTGCCGTATGCGTTTATGCGTTTAATGATGACGAGCGTGGGAGGTTGGACGTGGATAAGATCCCAATGATACGAATCCATACCATCCCACACGAGTCATGGAACCTGAGAGGCACGCGGTACCCGAATCCGGATGAGGAGAAAAAGGTGGTGGATTATTTGGATGGGAAGATGAGGACGTATGTGGCGGATTACTCCAGTGGACCGTATGCGTCCTCTTGGTTTTGTTTTATCAAGCCAAACAGAATGCTACGGTGGGTGCAGGATTTGCAACGATTGAATGCAGTAACAGTGCGGGACGCGGGAGGGTTGCCGAACGCGGACGCCCTGTTAGAGTCATGCGCAGGGAGGCCTATAATCTCACCCATAGACCTTTATTCTGGGTATGACCAGTTTCCTGTGTACCCACCGGATAGGCCAGTGACGGCGATGCATACGCCAAGGGGGTTGATCCACATGAACGTGGCACCTCAGGGGTGGACTAATGAGGTGGCAATGGTGCAAAGGCTCATGATTAGGGCCATGCAGACGGTTAGTCCACATATCACTCAGCCCTACATTGATGATTTGGCGGTCAAGGGTCCAAAGGAGAAGAGGGAAGACGAAGTGACGCCAGGAGTGAGGCGGTTCGTCTGGAAGCACATCCAGGATATTGATCAGGTTCTGGGTTTGCTGGAAGAACACAACCTGATGGCAAGCGCCCTTAAATCGAAGCATTGTATGAGGCAGGCCACGATTTTGGGTTTTGTCTGCAACGAGAAAGGGCGGAGGCCGGATGTGAAGAAGACGAACAAGATCCTGGAGTGGCCAGTCCTCTTTCAGTCGATAACGGACGTGAGGAGCTTCCTTGGGACCTGCGGGTTTTGGAGGAGTTTTGTGAAGGACTTCGCCTCTAAGACGGAGCATTTGAGGAAGCTGGTACGTAAGGACCAGGAGTGGGTCTGGGGCGAAGACCAGGAAAAGGCTGTGGAAAGGATGAAGAGAATTCAAGGAATGAGGCTTGGTGCTGGGGGCGCCAAACTACGAGGTCATGGAGGAGAAGCCATTCGTTGTCGAGACGGACGTCGGACCAACTGCCTTGGGAGGGGTCCTGATTCAGGGAGATGTGGATGGGAAAGAAAGACTGTTAAGGTTTGAAAGTCGTACCCTCAATACGACTGAGAGAAATTACTCCCAGTTTAAGAAGGAGATGTTGGCGGTGCTCCATTGCCTAAGGACCTTCCGGAACTATATTTTTGGCAGGAGGCTCATTTTGAGGGTGGACCCTACTGCGCTGGCGTGTTCCCTGAAAAGTTACAGTCCATCTGACCCAACCATCGCGAGGTGGCTGACTTACATTTGGATGTTTAACTTCGAGTTGGAGAGGATTCCCGGGGACAAGAACAGGGCAGATGGATTGAGCCGTATCAACTGGGATGGGGCAAATCAAGAATCAATTGAGGATACCCCACCAATTGATGGGTTCTTGGACCAGGAGGAGGACGTCCGCCTCCACATAAATGAATGGTCGCTGAGGGTGCCTAGCTGCGTCACGCATCCTATATGGTTAGCACCAAGGAGGTATGAGCAGAAGGGGGAGTTGGTTCTCAAGCCCTTCCAGGAAAAAGATCCGTGGGGGAATAGGGATGTTGGCTGGATGATGAGGTTGGCGTTGGCAGGGACGCATAGTCTAGCGGAGGAGGTAAGAACGATAGAGGAAGGCCCAGGTAGAGGTGCATGAGCAACTAATGGGAGGAATGTACCTGCTCACCAACACGCTCCTGCAGGGGAACTTTAATCAGAGAAGCGCGGCTGGTTCCGAGGAAGGCAAACTTCTTATTCCTGAAAGCCAGGTCGACGAGTTCAAAGAGGGAGAGATTAGGGAGACCTTCCGTGTTGAGGAGTATGACGGAATTTATCGGGAATTGGGGTTACTCTTATCGTGCGAAATGAGGGATAGGGGCACAAGTGCCAAAGCCCAAAAGATGAGGCATCTGTACGTAGTGAGAGATGACCATTTGTTCATAAAGTGACAAGTTGGAAACCCCAAGAGAATCGTATGTGGAAGGAACCGGCAGATCGATGTCATAGCAGCCTTGCACTATGGTATAGCAGGGGGGCACAGAGGGGTTAGTGCCACGTGCGAGAAGATAAACGAGTTATACCATTGGGATGGAATACTGACCATGGTCATCAAGTACTGCCAGTCCTGTGTACCTTGCCAGCAGAGGTCGGCGCAAAGGCCCGGGAAGCTTCTGCACCCCAAGCTGGAAAGGGAAGAGGGTGCAGTCGTACACTTGGACCTATTGTTCATGCCACTCGGGGAGGACAGGAGCAACTATATCTTCGACGCACAGGACAACCTTACCGGGTTCGTGGACGGCCGGGCTATTCGTACGAAGACTAGCCCAGTTTTAGCAAGGTGCATCGAAGAGTACTACCTGCGCTATCCATTTGTCAGAGAGTTTGTGATGGACCGGGGGTCGGAGTTCACTTGTAATGAGGTGCGGACCTTGCTTGCAGGGTATGACGTGGTAGCGAATTACACTACTGTCGCGCACCCCCAGGCAAACGCGCCTGTGGAGAGGGGGCATAGTACCATCACGAATCTCCTGGCCAAATGGACGGAGGGGAAGCCTAACCAGTGCCCGAAATTTCTGAGAGCATCATTCTTCGTGGAAAACGTCACAGTAAAAAGGACTACCAAGTATGCGCCAGCCACACTATGGTACAAAAGGCATGCCACCTTTATGAAGATGTGGAGGCGCCAGGACCTGAAAGTGAACCTGTCCTTTGAAGAACTGCTCGATATACGGGCGCGGCAGGTGGGAGCCGTTGAGGAAAGGTTACGAGAGGCCGCGGGTCAGGTAGAGAGAAGCCGTATGGAAGACAAGATGAGATGGGACCAGATGGCCTGAATAAGGAAGGACCCGTTGAAGGTTGGAGATGCGGTATTACTATATGACTCCTCGCTGGAGAAACAATGGTCTAGGAAACTCGACAAGCGATGGCTGGGACCCTATAGGATCGTGCGGTGTGGCGAGTTTGGGGCCTATCAAATCGAAGAACTGGATGGGGCAGGGTGGCAGGACTGGGTATCAGGGACAAGGCTGAAGAAGTTTGTGGCTAGGGAATAGGTAAGGGACCATGAGACCCCATTAGGGATAGAGTCTTGCCTAAGTGCTACCCATGCCGGGTAATTAGATAGGTGGGTGATTGGGGTAGATAGGTGTAGAAGGTATGTGGGATTCCCCTAGGCCAATGGCTCAGTAGCTGACCCTGCTTTGTGCTTGTTTGTTGTCTCTCGCCTGTTGTGCAGGTCTGACTTTTCGAAGGCAGTCATGCAGAGGGGCGGGAGGGACACACGGCCATGCCAGGGGCCCCAGAGGATGGAGGCAAGGGGCGAGCAGAATGAGCCGCCTAGGAGGGAGCCTATGCCTGAGTTTGATGACGACAACATTGAGCTCTTCTTGGACGTATATCGGGACCATGCGGCACAGAGAGGGTGGTCAGTGGCAGAGAGGATTCACCACTTGAGGGGTGTAGGGCGGTTCCAGGAGCCTGTCGCTCAGATATGCAAGGAGGCCCTGACTTGGCCAGATGTGGAGGCCGGGATGCAGAGGTTGAGAGCTTCCCCTAGGGGGCGTGATGGCATGCCCATTCGATTGGAGGAGGGGAACGCAGATGAGTTCATCCCTGCGTATGAGCACTACATGTTGAGTCTGGGGGTTGCGCGGGAGGAATGGGTACAGGCCCTACTTATCTGGACAAGGCAGGCAGAGAGGCAAGTGGCCAAACAGATTCGGGAGAGGGCTCGAGACTGGGAGGACTGTCAGGCCCAGCTCAGGAGGGTGTTCGGACGGCCACAGCACGAGAGGCACGAGCCCAGAGTTGAGAGGCGGCGGCGAAGCAAGAGGCCAAGGGAACCGGCACCGAGAGAGGCGGGGCTGGCTAGAGAAAGGAGGGGAGCCCCAGCCCAGCGGGAGGATGAGCCCGCAGGGCCCGCATTGGCAGAGGAGTCGTTCCCTGCTTGTGGCCTCCGGGCAGTTGAGTTTCGGCGGATTACAAGCGAGGAGTTGAGGCCGCCCTCGCCACTGCCATCAACGCAGGAGCTGGACATACCAAGAGAGACGCCATTCCGAAGCTTAGCGACTCATCTCGATGTATCCCAATGGGAGGCCTCACGACTGGGAGAGGGCTCAGTTGAGCCGGCGTGCTACGTGCCATTGGAGGAGCCCCTCGACCCCGAGATGGAGACAGACATGCGAGACGAAGAGGAGCCGCAGGATCCTGAGATGGCAGCCGAGCGCCCGGATCCGGTACGACCTCAGGGTAGAGAGGTGATCACGGTTGGGGACGATACCCCTCCATGCTCCCCAGCTCCAGAGCCAGCACAGCGTTTATGGCCAGAGGGGATTCCAGAGCCAGGCAGCGAGGAGATTCCGGAGTCTTCCCCTGCGGCCGCCATTACGCCTGAGCAAGAGGCAGAGGCGGAGGATCGAGGAGTGTGTGAGAGGGCAAGAGTGGAGGCGCCCTTTGACTTGCCCTCAGCCACGCAGGTGACCAAGAACCCGGATATCGAGGAGCCCGTTTCAGCAGAGTTACCGCCAGTAGTGTCGTGCGCGAGCGAAGGGATGGAGGCGGAGGCATCAACTCCAGGAGCCCAGAGACCGCGAGTGGAAGGAACCCCAAAAGAGACCCGCGAAGAGAAGTCCGCCCGAGTGCGGGTCCGTCTGGACGAGATACACGCAAGACAGGCGGAGATGGAGGCGGCAGGGATAGAGCCGACACCGCCGGTCGAGCCCAAGACGAGTGAGCAGAGGATCGACGAGTTATGGGCTAGGTATGAGAGCCAGAGGGATGCAGCCCGCCAGAGGTCACGAGAGGAAGGACGGGCAGACGAGGAGACGAGTGAGTTGAGAGAGATGGGGGACTTGGGGTTCTCCGCGACCAGGCAGGCGATTGAGCGCATGGGCCGGAGGGTATGCGAGACGACAGTCACATCTTTCCAGTGGTATAATCTACTCAGCAATGAGCTCAGGGTTAAGGAGTTGGAGGTAGAGCACCTGACTACCCAGCTTGCCGAGGAGAGGGCGAGGAGCCAGGCTAGAGAGGTTGAGTGGGAGAGGAGATTTGAGGAGATGGCAGTGTGGATAGGCTCTCGGTAGCCTGGGAGGCTAGCCAGATAGGGCAAGCCGGTGTCGATGGCGAAGGCCGGGGGATGCGCGCCTCGCCGAGCCAAGGAGCAGCAGTGGAGGTCCCTCGACAGAGTGAGCCGATGGAGGAGGTGCCCTTGGACGCAGTTGAGGAGGAAGGTAGGATGCAGGAGTCACTTATGGCTATGTCCACGGAGAGGAGAGGTTCGCACTTGCATGAGCTGGCGGCAGCCATGGGGATAGGCACTCCACAGGAGAGGCCTCAGGGACTCGATGCTCCAGAGCAGGCCCCGAGGTTGGGAGAGTTGAGGGTGGAGCTGGGCTTCTGGGCCACGGAGACGAACTCGGGAGGGCTCGACTCGCAGCAGCAGCAGCAGCAGGAAGTCATGAGTGAGCCCACCACCATGGTGAGCCCTCAGCCGTCGGAATTATATGGGGATGAGGTGGTGGTAGAGACAGAGAGGGCTCATGAGGAAGGACCCCGAGTGTCAAATGTGCCAGATGACAGGCCAGGGAGCACAGCCGCATGAAGGGGTGGAGGTGCTGAGGCTATGGAGCCTGGACCTCAGGGCCATATGGGATCGTCCTCGTGTCGCGAGGTGACTACTGGGACCATAGGGGCGCCTTCGGCATCCTGTTCGCAAGGGAGAAAGAAGAAGACTGCTAGGTGGCATGACACCTCCTGTTTTTGGTGCAAGGAGGGAGGACATAGAGTCGTGGACTGTCCAGAGCTCCTTGAGGATAAGGCCGAGGGGCGAGTTGCAGAGGTCGACGGCAAGTTCTATGACAGACAGGGTAGGATAGTGGAGCAAGCTCCAGATGGGGGCAGGGCTCAGTTGTATAGGCAGAACCAGGAGGAATTGTGTAAGTAGGGACCGGTCTGCTATACATTGGTTGGACTAGAGACCCTTGACACACGCACGGCGGGGTTAGAGATGTACATATCGTGAGTCAGTTGAGTGGGCCCTAGAGGTGTGTGTGCGCAGGGGCGGTAGGATGAGTCTCTAGCTGATTGTACATATACACTTGACTCTTGTTCGCTTGTTTCCTCTTGAGTTTCTTCGGGGGCTACGACCCGGGGGTAGGACTCAACTGTGTGATATATGAGATTATTTAGTTGAGTTTGGTTTTGTGATTCAGAAGCTATTGCTGCTCTGAATGGGATTTGGGAGTTTATAGCACTCGGGGTGTGAGTCTTCCCAGCAGGGGAGGACAGGGGCTAGGTATTATGTGGATGATTAGGCAGATGCTGTGTTCCCGAGTGTACTCGATGAGTGTACAGTGGGGTTATGAGTCCTACTCAGACAGGCGGGGTATTGAGTTGAGTGTCTGTATTCGATTGTTGGGGGAGGCATTCTACCCCCTGAGTGTACTATGAGTTGAGGTCCTATGGGGCTTGTCTTCTGACGATCACTATCGCTCTCACATGTGTGGATTTATCTCGATGAATGTTTAGCTTTGTGTGAGAGATGTACATGATACATCTCATGGGCATGATTGTGTAAATTGTAAAGCTGTCTACCCTCCGGTATACTCGTGCGGTCTGCTGCAAGCGGACGAGAAGGCAAAGTA